GACAATGGGCGGGGAATATAGAGATGTTATATTATCCATTGTATTCAACCTCTTCCACAAGGAGGTGAGACAAACGGATAATTTACGTCACATTTGATTGCACATATCATTGTATTTAAGACTAGACAATGGGCGGGGAATATAGAGATGTTATATTAGCCCTTGTATTCAACCTCTTCCACAAGGAGGTGAGACAAACCGATAATTTTCATCACATTTGATTGCACATATCATTGTATTAAAGACTAGACAATGGGCGGGGGATATAGAGATGTTATATTAGCCCTTGTATTCAACCTCTTCCACAAGGAGGTGAGACAAACCGATAATTTTCATCACATTTGATTGCACATATCATTGTATTAAAGACTAGACAATGGGCGGGGGATATAGAGATGTTATATTAGCCCTTGTATTCAACCTCTTCCACAAGGAGGTGAGACAAACCGATAATTTTCATCACATTTGATTGCACATATTGTATTTAAGACTAGACAATGGGCGGGGGATATAGAGATGTTATATTAGCCCTTGTATTCAACCTCTTCCACAAGGAGGTGAGACAAACCGATAATTTTCATCACATTTGATTGCACATATTGTATTTAAGACTAGACAATGGGCGGGGGATAGAGAGATGTTATATTAGCCCTTGTATTCAACCTCTTCCACAAGGAGGTGAGACAAACCGATAATTTTCATCACATTTGATTGCACATATCATTGTATTAAAGACTAGACAATGGGCGGGGGATATAGAGATGTTATATTAGCCCTTGTATTCAACCTCTTCCACAAGGAGGTGAGACTAACCGATAATTTTCATCACATTTGATTGCACATATTGTATTTAAGACTAGACAATGGGCGGGGATATAGAGATGTTATATTAGCCCTTGTATTCAACCTCTTCCACAAGGAGGTGAGACAAACGGATAATTTACGTCACATTTGATTGCACATATTGTATTTAAGACTAGACAATGGGCGGGGGATATAGATGAGTTAGTCCTCTTGTTATGCGTAATGACATAAATCCTCCATACCTCATCACTCCCTGCAGATAGTTCGCACGGCCCATCTTCTTCAGTGCAAGAGTTTGCATCAACTGTATTCCCAGCTCTCAACAAATTCTTGAAGTGTACTGGAGGGCAGCCCAACATGGCCTTGTATGGTGAACAACCTGTTAACATGGGTATTTATTTTTAAATACAAACATGTTTTTCTCATGTCTCCTTCAAAATTAAATGTCACAACTGCACTGTGGCAATCTTGATATTTCCAGAGTTCTATAAATTTGCAGAAACCTGATTGCAACGATATTTTGGGCAATATCTGGTCAACTATGAGCCATTATCGTTTCACTGTGTCATGATGGTTATTTGTTGGTCATTGCTTAAAAAAACATTCAATGTCGTACATCTACATTTACGATGCTAACAGTCTGAAAAGTATATGCTTACATTGTGTGCTTCACACTGTGTGACATATGCCCACATTAAATTAAAGCTATATATTCAAACGTTACCAAGAGCAGAATGAATTCTTTCTTTGTGCATCCTAGCATATGCTGGCAACATTTCCACCCCGGTAAAGCTTTCTCCTTCACCATGTTTCCTGTGATCAAATTCCAGATGGCTTTTCCAATCCCAGTGTGATCGTTCACTCTGAAACAAATAAACACCTAAATAATAAACAGATTAGGCAGTGTCACATAAAATGCCTTATTAGACAATTTAAAGGTAAAAAATGCACACATGTGTTATACCATGTATATTAAATAAATAACAAAAACAATTTCCATAATCATAAGAAACCTCCACTAAACCTGCGTCCATTGTACGATTCCAACAATATCATGAGTATGTGTTATGAATCAATATAAAATAGTGATAGTAGCAGGTGTTTGCGAAGGTTAGTGTATCCTGCCCCACTGGTGTCATCTGTCACACACACATGCAAGTCATACACAATCTTTTTGGCTTGTGGCTCTGCCCTTAAGATGACATGTTCCAAATAACATCAACATTAATGTTCTTCCTATTCAGTGTCTACATCTATTACCGTATTCTTCATAGTGCACATGTTTTAATTGAAATTTGTCACCCATCTTTCCCTGAGATTGGGGATGGTGAGTTCGACTTCGGACAATCTTTGTGCCCATTTCAATGCATAGTTGGTTGACTGCTCCCTTGAACTCGGAGCCTTGATTACACTGTAATATCCTTGGATTTCCCCATCCATACTCAAAGTAGATTTTGTGGAGTTCCACAGCAACTGAACTGGCTCTTTTGTTTGAAAGAGGCCGAAGCCGCAAGAATCTTGTGAAAACATCAATCACTGACAAGATGTAAATTAATATTTCACCATCATATTCTGCAGGCTTTCCAGTTAGTTCCACAAGGTCAACCTGATGTTGCCCCATTGGTGTTGTTGAGATCACCGGTTTTAGTTTGTCGACATTTGCAATTTTAGGAAGTAACAGTTGCCTGTCATCCTGCCTGTCTATAAACTCTTGTATGGCTTCCTGAGAAATGCCAGCATAATATTGGTTTATCAATGTTTTTATTTTGCTCCAGAACCCCGCAACTCAGTGTAAAATTTGCATATGACCTTAACAAGTTCTGACTTTGATACCACTATTTTCCTGTCCCCATCAATAATCTCCGATCTGTATTCTCCTTTGACAGGGTTGTGAATTTCTGTCAAATATTTCTATGAATCGAGGAAAATTCAAATAAACAGAAACTCAGAACTATTTCTTTCTTATTGATTGTGCAGGTGGTACATGGTGATAGTCTTAACATAAACTGCATATAGAGTTACTGTTTTTCATAATGACTGCCATATCAGCCTTTCAAATCACAAGGTTCCCTGAAATGTGATCATATTGTGGTATAAATAGTAACTAAAGCCTACAACAGTCAGGCAATGTAAACATGTAAAGCTTAAATCTGTGCATTATTTTAGTTTTTCAGAATACCAGGTTTTCATATTGATTGTAAAGAGGGAAAGGGAAACATTTCCCACAATTACCTCTTGGGAAAGAACTTTTCAAAATGTCTTTACCATGTTTACTTGTTGAAGATATGGTCCCTATTTTAGTGTCAAGTATTCATACTTAAAACAGTAGATTACGGTATACAGTTGGTTGGTTGGTTGGTTGGTTGGTTTGTTGTTTAACGCCACACTCAGCAATATTCCAGCTATATGACAGCGGTCTGTAAATAATCGAGTCTGGACCAGACAATCCAGTGATTGACATCATGAGCATCGATCCACGCAATTGGGATACGATGACATGCATCAACCAAGTCAGTGAGCCAGACCACCCGATCCTGTTAGTGGCCTTTTACGACAAGCAGAGTCACCTTTTAGGGCAAGCATGGGTTGCTGAAGACCTATTCTACCCCGGATCTTCACAGGTACGGTATACAGAACTGTAATGGAATGTCATACTCACTATAAAAAGTAACTCATAGGCTCGTCGTAATGTGAAAATCATAAAAATGACTAAGTTTTTTAGCATAGGTTGTAGAAGTAGAAGGAGCCTTGATATACAAGAACTGATGACTATGGTATGGTAGAGGTGGGGCCTGCAATATACAACATCACGGTAAAGTCTGGAGAGAGGGAATACACAGTAACTGGAGTCACAGTCGAGGGGAAGGGTGAAGTGCGGATGTTGAGCCTAACAATAAACAAACATATCAAGTCATGAAGAAAAGATGAAATGTACATATCCTAGACCTGAACATAATGAATCAATGGTAGTTGTGATGAAATAAAACATCTATATTAGCTCTCAATAGATCAGAGGCAGGACGTTTGGATGATGAAAAGGCTGAGAGATTTGGCAGTGAGATTGTTACTGGTCAAGACATAGCATAATACTGTCAACTTCAAGAGGGGCATCAAATGTTAATATATATGGAATGTTTTCTGTTCCTTATAATAGTTGTATATCATTTGAATAAATAATGAATTTTAATTATGTACATGACTGGATTGCAGTACATGATATGTCCATAGAATTATAGGTAACAAACAACATATTCATATATTCATTTTCTTTGATGGTTGTCTTTTTTCATTGTGTTGAACTGACACTTCCACAAAAGTAATTGGAAGGTAACTCAGCAGTTAACTTATTTCAATTCAATAATTTGTGTGGAGGCTGGATATGTTTTCAGCTTACAGCTACAAAACCAGATTTTCCACACATAAGTCTATGAACCTTAGTAGGAACCGATTAGTTTTAGGCTTAAGAGGGAATCTGACGTTGCATGATTTGCAAGTATATCAAGAAAATTTCAAATGTGTCCAGTTGAACACTATGCAAGTGGCCAACAACAAAAGCAGTAAAGAACCCCTTCATCCACAGATCATACCTTAAGTTGGTTGGTTGGTGGGTTTGTTGTTTAACCCCGCACTCAGCAATATTCCAGCTATATGACGGCGGTCTGTAAATAATCGAGTCTGGATCAGACAATCCAGTGATTAATATCATGAGCATGGATCCACCCATTTGGGATCGATGACATGCATCAACCAAGTCAGCGAGCCTGACCACTCAACATACTTAAGGAAACTTGGGCTAGTATTTGAACAGTTTCATTTTTATTACTATTTTTTTTACAATAAAAGACATTTATGTCTCAACATAATGTGACCCCCTAAGTAGTGCTACAAATGCCTCAAAGAGAAACAATTTAGAATACTGGAAAATATGAAATATTTTTTTAACAAATGAAGAATACAGTTCCAAATTGAGAAACAGAATCATATTTCTATCCTTTGAAAATGGTGCTGCAAATACACAGGTTTGGAGGTCTTTTCTTCAAGACTTTCCAAAAATTTATTATTACCAAAACAATAATTATTTGATATGAGGAAGTTAGTATCATACATGACAATTATCACTGCTAATTACCAGAGATATGTCAATCTTTAAAAAGGTATGCTGAAATGTATGTGCCTAAAGCAATCATATTACTAACCTTCAATATTTAACTGTCATCTGGACAGATAATTGTAGCGCCAATCCAACAGAGAAATATAACAAGGAGACACGATTCAATGTTACACACATGGATTGTTGATACAGAACAGTACCTGGAACAGTTGAAAAGTCATTCCAATTCCATAAACAACCACATACAACAAATTTATATTCTTAGCTACTAACTTCAGGAAGCAATGGTCATTGGCCTTTTCAATGAAACAAGTGTTTTCATTGGCTAATTCATCATGACTGACAGAAAGGAGGAAAGAGCAATACCAGATGAGTGACCATAAACCATGGTACCGAGGATGGCATAATGTTGCATCCTACACACACCAACATGCCAGCTCTCTGTATTAATGAGATCAAAAGCATGCTGTGTATTGAATGGAAGAACACAGTGCCCCTATGTGAGTGCACCATACAAACATAAAGGGGTGGAAATATACAGGTATCTGTGTGAGAGTGAGGTAGAGGACCTAAATTAGCAACCCTAGGTATGGGTAATTTATTATGGGGGAGTGTGGGGTTGAGGTTAGGACCATATTTAGATGAGACTATTTCCTAATTCCTCATCCTGAGTGAGAAGTTAGCATGTAATGTTCTACTTAATGTTAACTGCCTCTGAATTAAGTTCTCTATTAGGAAGTCATTCTTGGTCCAGAAACTTAGCATACTACTACACAATGTTTTTCACCCAATTCTGACAGAACATCATAGCACAGCAAACAGGGATTCCAGGTTGGGTATCCAGCAAGGTAGATGTAATAATACCTCCACTGACAAATACAGGGAGTAATAGCTACAGAGTACATTGATTTAGTGCAGTGACTGCACACAGAGAGGCAGCTCCACACACTGGTCTTCACCATGCATGCCTACACTGTTAACACAGATTCACTGACAAATACAGGGAGTAATAGCTACAGAGTACATTGATTTAGTGCAGTGACTGCACACAGAGAGGCAGCTCCACACACTGGACTTCTGCCATGCATGCCTACACTGTTAACACAGATTCACTGACAAATACAGGGAGTAATAGCTACAGAGTACATTGATTTAGTGCAGTGACTGCACACAGAGAGGCAGCTCCACACACTGGTCTTCAGCCATGCATGCCTACACTGTTAACACAGATTCACTGACAAATACAGGGAGTAATAGCTACAGAGTACATTGATTTAGTGCAGTGACTGCACACAGAGAGGCAGCTCCACACACTGGTCTTCAGCCATGCATGCCTACACTGTTAACACAGATTCACTGACAAATACAGGGAGTAATAGCTACAGAGTACATTGATTTAGTGCAGTGACTGCACACAGAGAGGCAGCTCCACACACTGGTCTTCAGCCATGCATGCCTACACTGTTAACACAGATTCACTGACAAATACAGGGAGTAATAGCTACAGAGTACATTGATTTAGTGCAGTGACTGCACACAGAGAGGCAGCTCCACACACTGGTCTTCAGCCATGCATGCCTACACTGTTAACACAGATTCACTGACAAATACAGGGAGTAATAGCTACAGAGTACATTGATTTAGTGCAGTGACTGCACACAGAGAGGCAGCTCCACACACTGGACTTCAGCCATGCATGCCTACACTGTTAACACAGATTCACTGACAAATACAGTGAGTAATAGCTACAGAGTACATTGATTTAGTGCAGTGACTGCACCCAGAGAGGCAGCTCCACACACTGGTCTTCACCATGCATGCCTACACTGTTAACACAGATTCACTGACAAATACAGGGAGTAATAGCTACAGAGTACATTGATTTAGTGCAGTGACTGCACACAGAGAGGCAGCTCCACGCACTGGACTTCAGCCATGCATGCCTACACTGTTAACACAGATTCACTGACAAATACAGGGAGTAATAGCTACAGAGTACATTGATTTAGTGCAGTGACTGCACACAGAGAGGCAGCTCCACACACTGGTCTTCAGCCTTGCATGCCTACACTGTTAACACAGATTCACTGACAAATACAGGGAGTAATAGCTACAGAGTACATTGATTTAGTGCAGTGACTGCACACAGAGAGGCAGCTCCACACACTGGTCTCCACCATGCATGCCTAAACTGTTAACACAGATTCACTGACAAATACAGGGAGTAATAGCTACAGAGTACATTGATTTAGTGCAGTGACTGCACACAGAGAGGCAGCTCCACACACTGGACTTCAGCCATGCATGCCTACACTGTTAACACAGATTCACTGACAAATACAGGGAGTAATAGCTACAGAGTACATTGATTTAGTGCAGTGACTGCACACAGAGAGGCAGCTCCACACACTGGACTTCAGCCATGCATGCCTACACTGTTAACACAGATTCACTGACAAATACAGGGAGTAATAGCTACAGAGTACATTGATTTAGTGCAGTGACTGCACACAGAGAGGCAGCTCCACACACTGGTCTCCACCATGCATGCCTACACTGTTAAAACACTGACCATCGTTTATATGCTTTAACAGTTGCATCTCACCTGGCAAGCTGGCAGAACCTCTTGAGGTGCACACTGACCGTCTGCCTTGAGGAGCCGAGCAAGCCGCCCATTGTTGCTGTAATGGGAGAGAGAGTGAATGAAATGTTTCAGTCTAGATGGGGTTGTACATGGTCAAAGGGATCAGGAGGGGCCTATGCACCAGCCCATGACTGTCTGGAGGGTCCAGGAAGGGGGCACCCAATCATTGTGGACTTAAGTCCTTAACAAGTAGAGAAAGATGTATTGTATAAGTATGGATCTTGGTGACAAGGGGTTTTTACTGTGTTGGGTATGAAAGTTACAGCAAAGATATGTCAATGTTTTGATCAGGGCTACTGTGGTGCATCACTGAATGTTTCGGAGACAGGCGAGTTGGGTTGACTGTAATTCGCGTAACTTTCGATCTGTCCGAAGTCGAGGCTTGCAAATACAGTTCAGCACAATCTTCAAAGACACATAAACTACATCTAATATACCTGATGTTGAGATTGTGAGTGAAACATCGCGACGACAGCTGAGTCAGGGATGCTTTCGGAGAGGTCAACCAGCTCTGCTGAAGATAGTGTCACGTGCATACATAAGCCACGCCCACTCATGAATATTGCAGACTTAAGACCATAGTAGGTTTAACTTTCTTTCCTGCAGCATTGTGGCCTGGGTAGGTTGGTTGGTTGGTTGGTTGGTTGTTTAACACCGCAATCGGTTTTTCCAGCTATATGACGGCGGTCTGTAAATAATCGAGTCTGGATCAGACAATCCAGTGATTAATATCATGAGCATCGATCCACGCCATTGGGATCAATGACATGCATCAACCAAGTCAGCGATCCTGACCCCCTGATCCCATTAGTCGCCTTTTACGACAAGCATAGTCACCTTTTACAGCAAGCATGGGTTGCTGAAGACCTATTCACGGGTCTGGCCTGGGTAGGTAGCAGCTTTGCTTTGCGGTGAAGGACTGAGATCAATCTGTACAGGTTCAGCTCCCGTTCACCACACTTGGAGTGAATGCGTCTATGCCAACCTGTGAGTAAAGAAGATATGGAATCAAAATGAATTCATAGAGCGAACTATTGATTTAAACATGATCAATATCTGTGGCCAGGCCATTGTATGTAACAGTGTGGACTTGTGGTCAGGTCATTGTATCGAACAGTGTTGACCTGGTGGTCAGGTCACTGTATGTAACAGTGTGATCTGGTGGTCAGGTCACTGTATGTAACAGTGTGATCTGGTGGTCAGGTCACTGTATGTAACAGTGTGATCTGGTGGTCAGGTCACTGTATGTAACAGTGTGATCTGGTGGTCAGGTCACTGTATGTAACAGTGTTGACTGGTGGTCAGGTCACTGTATGTAACAGTGTTGACTGGTGGTCAGGTCACTGTATGTAACAGTGTTGACCTGATGGTCAGGTCATTGTATGTAACAGTGTTGACTGGTGGTCAGGTCACTGTATGTAACAGTGTGATCTGGTGGTCAGGTCACTGTATGTAACAGTGTGATCTGGTGGTCAGGTCACTGTATGTAACAGTGTTGACTGGTGGTCAGGTCACTGTATGTAACAGTGTTGACTTGTGGTCAGGTCATTGTATGTAACAGTGTTGATCTGGTGGTCAGGTCACTGTATGTAACAGCGTGGACTGGTGGTCAGGTCACTGTATGTAACAGTGTGATCTGGTGGTCAGGTCACTGTATGTAACAATGTTGACTGGTGGTCAGGTCACTGTATGTAACAGTGTGATCTGGTGGTCAGGGTACTGTATGTAACAGTGTGATCTGGTGGTCAGGGTACTGTATGTAACAGTGTGATCTGGTGGTCAGGTCACTGTATGTAACAGTGTGATCTGGTGGTCAGGGTATTGTATGTAACAGTGTGACCTGGTGGTCAGGTCACTGTATGTAACAGTGTGATCTGGTGGTCAGGGTATTGTATGTAACAGTGTGATCTGGTGGTCAGGGTACTGTATGTAACAGTGTGATCTGGTGGTCAGGGTACTGTATGTAACAGTGTGATCTGGTGGTCAGGTCACTGTATGTAACAGTGTGATCTGGTGGTCAGGTCACTGTATGTAACAGTGTGATCTGGTGGTCAGGTCACTGTATGTAACAGTGTGATCTGGTGGTCAGGGTACTGTATGTAACTGTGTGATCTGGTGGTCAGGTCATTGTATGTAACAGTGTGATCTGGTGGTCAGGTCACTGTATGTAACAGTGTGGACTGGTGGTCAGGTCACTGTATGTAACAGTGTGATCTGGTGGTGAGGTCATTGTAGTCAACAGAGTAGATTGTTGCTCAAAATATCAGTCACTGGATTGTCTGGTCCAGACAAAAAACTGAATAATGTTGTTGGTTTGAAGTGAGAGGACAATGTAATATTCAAAGGAACGTTATGGGACAATCACTAAAGTCCAATGTTAAGCATCACCACATATTCTGAGAAGTAAAACAGGGTTTGAAATTAAACATAAGACTCACAGGGTACTTGTTATGTGAAAAGTTAAAAATTTAGGGGGGGTCCTTTATTCAAATACTATAGCAACAAACCTGGAGGACCCCAGGACCACCTTTGTTTCCAACATATAAGAAAACAAATCATAACATTAAGGATTTCTGTTAATTTCAAACACTGCCAACGATTTTTGCCCTTTCTTATAAGAAAAGTAATTCATATATTATACTGGCATGACAAACATATATGAATTAAGGTATCATCTTCCTGTACTGGTCCCTATCTTGTCATAAGAAACTACTACTGGGATTGGGATGTCAGGTTCGCTTTTTCGGTTTATGCATGTCCTGGCATCCTGATTAATTGATGTTCATGATTTCAATCACTGGATTGTCTGGTCCAGACCTTATTATTACAGACACTGTCATATAGCTGAAATACTGCTGAATGAGGCGTTAAACAACAAACAAAACTGGCATGTACAGCTTTGAGCCCCATAACTCTGCAGCTTCCTCAGCTGTCTCTTGGAAGGTTTGAAAAAGTTAACTTTAATTTAGGTAAAAATCAATTCATAAAAATAAGTTTTATTATTAGTCCCATTGTATATTCTACATCATATTTTGGTCTGTGAGAAATAAAGTCTGAAAGATTCTTTCAGATTTTTTACCATTTTATTTTGGAAGTGATAATTTTTTTTCATTCTCCATGCAGGAACAGCTCTGAGTCAAATGTGTTTGTATAGAGCATATCAAGTTTACTGCTTTCTGTGCCTAGTGGATATTGAGTCGTAGTTTTTAAAGATTACACATAATTTTACTAAGTCAAAGTTACGGTCAAAACATGCTATTTACATACCATAGTTATTGGCCACTTCAAATATATTTAATTATCTGAACAAATAACACAGGGTCATGGCTAACAATTGCGTGCTTGCCATTTAAACCAAAGGGGAAAAGAGAGTTTAGGCTGACAATATGAGAGAGATATCATGCGAGTTTAAACAGCGTTGTGTTTTTTTATGAGAAATTGTCAAAACAACCCAAATTCACACTGGATACACTTACGTGGGTGCAGGCTAAAACGGCACTTCAGCAAAACGTCACCGATTTCTCTGGCGAAAACGGCACCGCATTTGGCGGAAACGGCTACTATGTGACAGGCGAAAACGGCACCTCTATTTCTAATAATGATAAGAACGATTTATGTACAATGTAGTAGTATATCTGATTTATGTTATTTGTTACATATTATTTGATGTATTTACATGTTATTTCCAGTTGTTCACAGATAATTACATACATTCACATGTATACAATATATATTTTATGGCCGCTGTCAATACACTGAGAGGAAAGGCCTTGCGAGCATGGTATAAGATCAAAAGTTCACTGAAATCAACTTCTCATCTCCCAGCAGACATTCTTATTCGCTTGTATAATGTCTTAATTGTACCCATTGCATCATATGGAGCCGAGGTATGGGGCTGCAGTCTTCTAAGACCCCCGCATGAAATGTATCATAACTGGTCTAAACAACTATGTAATGAGATCACTATCAAAATAGCAAAGCAGATTCTAGGAGTTCTTTTTGTACTGTCCAAATTATCAGAATGAAAGACAGATACTTCTTAGAAGACTAGACTTACAAAACTGCTAAATTGATAATAAAATCTTAGCAAATATCCTGAACCCCTGTCCTGAAAGAGGAAAATATGTTTCACAAATTATCTCCGACATGTTTATTAAAAGAACCTCTCTTATAGACAACATCTAGATATGACCTTATTTTACTTCAAGGCATGTTATGTTTTCACAATAATTTGAGTTGCGTATAGGCTAAGTTGGAATATAGTTGGAGTAGAGGCTAAATTCTAATGTAAACTAGTTGTAACATTTCACAATTATGGTGTTTGCAAGCGACCATGTTAGTTTAATATCATTTATTTTATCAAGGTTAAAAAAAATAGGGTGCCGTTTTCGCCAGGCAATAGTAGCCGTTTTCGCCTGAGGCGAGGTGACGTTTTCGCCAATCGGTGCCGTTTTCGCCAGGTGACGTTTTGCTGAGGTGCCGTTTTAGCTATAACCCCACTTACGTCGCATCTGCGAATACAAGAATGCGGATCATTCACAATTAGCGGTCATAATATATTAACGAACATTGCTCCGTTATTTCCTGAGAGGAGAGAGGATTCACACCAATGAGCATGTCTTGCCTCGGTCGCACCCAATGCCCGTTGGTGCAGTCGAATGCAAGTATTGCTAGATCCGTGTCTACAACTTTATCTATAAATGCAAAATATCCTTTAAAAATATAAATAGTGAAGACACTACCTTATGTATCCACGGGCTGATAAGGTATCCCATGACATATCACATTTTGCTTACAAACAGCTAACATCGTCGTTATCACAATTCACTTCCTGGTCGCCATTTTGTTCAAGAAAGTTCAAGGTCGTGTTGGATCGTGCTAGACTAACGCTTAGTCTCTGAAAATATATAATTTTGAAAGAAACAACTCCATTTAAATTGAAAAGGAGCCCAAGTGAGATGGGAGATTCCTGAACCTAAGCACAATCTTGATTTGCTATTGCATGGCAGAAAGGGCTGGGCGGAAGGGAAAAGAATATGGTTCAGGGACTGTACGTGAGACATTCTAGGATCGCGCTTTTATCCACACATACAAATAATGTTAATTTTGTCAATATCTCTATTTTCTTCTTTTTCATTTACAGTTTTATACAATAGATCGAGGTAGAGGTGCAGTTTAATATTATTCCACCACTATGCATTTGCAATTTCTATTTTAAAACAGTGTCAATAGATATCTGTGTGTGTATATTAGAACAATGTGTGACTCACAGTTTGAAAAGTACAGTAATTTCGAGTTTATTCAACTTACTTTCTGTATCTGTCAGGTTTACACAGAATATTAGATTTGGAGCAAGTCTCTATGTAATTATGCAAGTTTCAACACAACACACGCAGAAGAGGACCAGTCTGGTTGAAATCTCCCATATAGTAAATTTAGATAGATCTTTCACAGAGGGCTTGAAACTCTCAAAAACATGACGTCATTGCCTTTGTCCTTTCATCTTATAAACTTGACAGTGACTCAGCTATCAGTAGTATCAAGTCAAATCCCAGCTTGGCATGAAAACCTGTAGGTTTTAAGAAATACTTAAAATCAAAAGGCGTGTGCTTCATAACTTAGATTGCCGGATTTGCACTAATACGACAATTTCCTCTGTAAGGAAGAATGGATTTGTGTTACCCAAACTTTTATGGGAAAGTGTTCTGCATTATGTAGATAAATTCAAGACAACGTCTGGTGACGTGATGGCGGGTGTGGTCAGAAATTGAACAGGCAACAAAATGTGAACTAAAACTTATTGACGCTAAACAGAAAAAAAGAAACTTAGATTTTCACAGCTGGCTTAAAGTATTTTGGGGATCATGAAATCATGCCATGCAGTGTTAAACATGAGTACATAACTGACTATAAAACTTATTGACGCTAAACAGAAAAAGAAACAGCTGCTTAAAGTATTTTTTGGTATCATGAAATAATGCCAAAAAGTGTTAAAGACGAATACAGAATTTGCCATGTACAATTTGTGTTTGTTTGTTTGTTTGTTTGTTTGTTTGTTTAACGTCTCCAGTGGAATATATGGCTGCGCATGTGACAGCTCTGTAGACCATCTGGTTTACATTTATATAAGGGGTGTTTTCTGCTGGCACTCGGGGGCTTTATTGTGTTTATAAATGGGGATTACAGTGCTTAAGAAAAAGGACATGATGGGTTATGGGAAGCTGTGATTTTTCAGTCAGCCCTACACAACATGTGTAAAGACATGCCAAACAATACTTTTTCACTCAATACCTTGCTGTCTAGGACATTTAGCTGGTCCCAAAATGTACGATTTTTTCTTCAACTTGAAAGATCGTATGCTGCACACGCGCACGCACACACGCACACACGCACGCACGCACGCACGCACGTACATATGTTATCAGTGGATTTCATATGAAACCGTGAGAAAGTTGTTACATGATACATCAAGATCAACATTTCCAAAGCACTTGGATTTTCATTTGATTCTGAAGCATTGTTTCAGTATGCCACCATTCATTATCATCATAGACTGCTGACTGTATCCCCCCCTCGGGGTAGACCTGTTGTGGTATTTTTCCACTGGAGGTTGTGAGGTCCTGGAGGAGGTGGTGATATACAGTCCGGTTCCAAAACGGACACAAATATTATCAGTGAAGCATTCCAGGTACATTCGAGTTCTGTTTCTAATATGACAAACTGATGGTGAAAGACAATGGAACGAACAGGCACTATTCACCAGTCATGACTCTGGTCACATTCCTAGCAATTATCACCAACGGTAATACTCACACTGACAACAGCGCAACATTGTCCGCCTTTAATTTTAATTGGTACTAAATACCGTGCCATCAAATGACATCCTGTTTGGCTAAATGCGAGTCCTAATTGATAAACATAATTCCAAAGACATAGATTATTTACATTAGGGATCGGCCCGTCCAGCCTTCTATTTATAAACCCAAAGAATTGTCAACACTTTCCGTGAATCTTAGGAAACGGTCGTAAAATATCTCTGGCTTGTGTATAATTATGTTCTTAAAAATGAGATTCTTAAAGCATTGTGATTTATTTGGTGTTTCACTCCTGAGCCTATAGCTACGAACGATTGATCCATTTAAATGTAAAATCAACAGTATTTCGTGTGTGAAATCGGGGGAGGGGGTTGACAATAGTACATTTGTCTGCAACAATTCATGAAAATGAGTTGGTAGCATTAATGCGAGAAACGTTGGATTACGCTTTGGGATATGTTTGTTTGTTTGTTTTTTATCGCCGCACTCAGCAATATTCCAGCTGTATGGCGGTGGTCTGTAAATGATCGAATCTTGGTTGGACAATCCAGTGATTGCTTTAACAAGCTTTTTTTGCGCTGCTTTTAGCAATATTCCAGCAATATGATAAAGGAAGACACCAGAAATGGGCTTCACACATTGAGCCCATGTGGGGATTCGAAACAGCCTTCGCCATGACCAGCAAACACTTTAACCAATAGACTAGGGTAGATGTCAGGATGTTTATGCATATCTTGAAATAACGAGGTAGAAAATGAATTCTATATTTTTATATCATATATATTCAGAATTGTTATTTATAACAATATACTTGGAAGATTTCGAGGATATGATTACATGTTTGGAATTGATGCGTTTGCTGATATACAAACCATGCATGATAGAACGATATTTGTAAATAATCAAATTTTAGTGGTCTTCTATTTAGTTTTGAATGTTGGGACGAAAATAGATATTTGTCAGTAAAATTAGCTAAATATGCATAACAAATTGTCTCAATTGTTTGCATACATATGAAATAAAATATCAATACTTTATCAGGTGACGTAGAGTAGCAAGAATAGTTTTGCTACACAATGACAAAACGCAATTCTCGATTATCAGCCAGGTGTAAAAGGTAAAAAAAGGTGCAAATCATATGAATGCATCACAGACAATCAAAGGGATTTGAAAAGTTGGGGAAATTACAGTTGCATAGCACCTGCAAAAAACTAGTATGCCTGGGAAGGCAATATCCCCCGAGTAAATACATGTATGGTACACATACTTACACCAATGATACTATGGTGACTTTTTATAGTGTAAACTACCTACCAATTTGGAGTATTATGTGTCTATTATAACCCTACTTCGTTTATTTCACAAAAAGAGGGCCGCCTCCACCTAGTGGCAGAGCGTCCGCCCAGAGAGAGGAGGGTCCGGGTTCGATCCCTGGCCACGTCATACCAAAATATGCTATAAGATGGTACTTGTTGTTACCCTGTCTGGCGCTCGCTTCGGATACATTCATAAAATAATTATTGTGTGTCTATTATTACGCATCTTTCGTAATCTACCAAATGAGACAATTCTAGGCTATTTCAAGGCAAGCGGTTTATAGCACCTACGCAATAGTAGTATCGCTTGAAAAGGTCTTTCTCCCAAGGGAAAAAATGTATCATATTAATACTTACCTAAATAATAGTGTTATAGCTTCTTCCGATATATTCCAGGCATTAATACTTCATGTCTATTATTACGCGTCTTTCGTAATCTACTAAATGAGACAATTCTGGGCTATTTCGAGGCAAGCAGTATATAACACGTAGGCAATAGTAGTATCGCTTGAACAGGTCTTTCTCCCAAGGGAATAAAGGTATCATATAAATACTTACCTAAATAATAGTGTTATGGCTTCTTCGGATATATTCCAAGCATGAATATTTTTTGTCTATTATTTCGCGTCTTTCGTAATCTACCAAATGAGACAATTCTAGGCTATTTCGAGCCAAGCGGTATATAACACTTAGGCAATAGTGGTATCGCTTGAACAGGTCTTTCTCCCAAGGGAATAAAGGTATCATATAAATACTTACCTAAATAATAGTGTTATGGCTTCTTCCGATATATTCCAAGCATGAATATTTTTTGTCTATTATTACGCGTCTTTCGTAATCTACCAAATGAGACAATTCTGGGCTATTTCGAGGCAAACGGTTGATATCACCTAAGCAATAGTAGTATCAATTATAAAGGTCTTTCTCCCAAGGGAATAAAGGTATCATATAAATACTTACCTAAATAATAGTGTTATGGCTTCATCGGATATATTCCAAGCATGAATATTTTGTGTCTATTATTACGCGTCTTTCGTAATCTACCAAATGAGACAATTCTGGGCTCTTTCGAGGCAAGCGGTTGATATCACCTAAGCAATAGTAGAATCAATTATAAAGGTCTTTCTCCCAAGGGAATAAAGGTATCATATAAATACTTACCTAAATAATAGTGTTATAGCTTCTTCGGATATATTCCAAGCATGAATATTTTGTGTCTATTATTACGCGTCTTTCGTAATCTACCAAATGAGACAATTCTAGGCTATTTCGAGCCAAGAGGTATATAACACATAGGCAATAGTAGTATCGCTTGAACAGGTCTTTCTCCCAAGGGAATAAAGGTATCATATAAATACTTACCTAAATAATAGTGTTATGGCTTCTTCGGCTATATTCCAAGCATGAATATTTTTTGTCTATTATTACGCGTCTTTCGTAATATACCAAATGAGACAATTCTAGGCTATTTCGAGCCAAGAGGTATATAACACATAGGCAATAGTAGTATCGCTTGAACAGGTCTTTCTCACAAGGGAATAAAGGTATCTTAAATACTTACCTAAATAATAGTGTTATGGCTTCTTTGGATATATTCCAAGCATGAATATTTTGTGTCTATTATTACGCGTCTTTCGTAATCTACTAAATGAGACAATTCTGGGCTATTTCGAGGCAAGCGGTTGATAT